GGCAAATAATTCCTAGCAAGCATCAAATCTAAGTTAGCCTTGAATACCAGGCAGAGATAAGACAGGAAGAGTTTTCTCGAAAATGAAGAGAATTTGAGGGTAAGAATGCTTTCTTGGTTTGTGTGTTTCCCATCCCCAATATTCTGCTTTTTCCTCCCCCAAACTGAAATGTTTCTAAGTCAAGGATGTGTATCTCTATTTTCAGATTGCACCCTCTAGCATTCTGGGCAATATATCAGTTTTCGTGCAATAACATAAATCTACAGACCTCTGTTTCTGAGGCATACGTTTTCACTTGGGCACAATAACACACCATGAGAATAAATCAAAAGGCAACCAGCACAGCATCCGTTAAAAACACCCGCCAATCACATGAAGACGAGAGGAAGAAGGCAGTGCGTCTGGGAAATGGCCGTACAAAGTTTGTTAATTCAGAATATAAATATTTTTTACTGTACATCTCTGCCAACTCTGACTGTTCTCGGAGAGTATTTGGGGTTCTCAGATATGAAAGAGACTGTAATTCCTCTGGAACAAACAGACGCACAAAGTGCGACACTGAAAAGCTAATTCAGCGGAAGGTATTTCTCTTCTGCCTAGACTTTCAAAGGGTCTTTGAAGTGAAGGGAGTAAATTAAGGTTCCTGTTTCGACAACCTGTTTACTCTCCAGGCAGATTTGCAAGAGACTCTGGGTTTTCTTGCATTCAGTTTCTCCGTTCCCCCCGTTGAGTTCAAAAGGGGATTACAAGTAATGAATGAAATGACCCGTTTTGTTTAGGGATTGAGGGATAAATATTCTCTCTGAAGGATGCACAGGGTCTCTCCCTGGGCTCTCTCGGAGGATAAGCTGTGGAAGGGGGGGGGGTTCCCGGCTTGCTCAGGCAAACATGGAACTTATTCCTCTAAGACAGGCTAATATATAATTTTTAGAGTTTCCTTTCCTACTCTGAAATCTGTAACCACATTTTTTGTGATTCTGGAACCGTATTTTTTTTTATTGGCAACTCTCTGTTTTGCTCTTTTCTTTTTATTTCTATGTGTTATTTTCATAAAGTTTATAAAACTTGTAAAGTAACAAAGAGAGGGGGGTGGCTCTGTTCTCCAGTCCTTATCCAATCTGTTGATTTGTAAGTAAATTTTTAAGGTCTCCCACAAAATCAAACAGAATACGGTGGCAGCAGAGAACAAGATACGGTCCTTAAACAGAGACTGTCTGGATGATCAAAATCGCCATAAACTCCCTATGATTTTTATGTTATGTTTTAATGTTACGGATGCTATGTTCCTGTGTGTTTTCTCATTATGTGTATTGGAGATGGCATTCATTTCGTTATGCGGAAGTACAATGACAATAAAGTTGATTCTATTCTATGATCATGCTGGCTGGGGATTTCGGGAATCTCAGTCCAAAAAAAATTTTTTTAAATGTTCCCAGGCTTTGATAAAGAGAACGTCCTTGCTAGTTTTGGGGGAAAGGTTTAACTGTTTTGTACAGTGGTGCCTTGCTTTACGAATGCCCTGCATTATGACGAAACCGCTTAACGACTATCTTTTTGCGATCGCAAAACGATGGTCTGAATGGGGGAATTTCGCTTTGCGATGATCGGTTCCCTGCTTTGGGAACCGATTTTTTGCAAAACGACATATTTGAACAGCTGATCGGTGGTTTCAAAATAGCCGCTGGGTGATTAAAATGGCTCCCTGCTGTGTTTAGGGATGGATTCCTCGCTATACAGGCAGCGAAAACGGCTGCCGTATGGAGGATCTTCGCTGGACGGTGAGTTTTTACCCCATTAGAACGCATTGAATGGGTTTCGATGCGTTTCAATGGGTTTTTTTTTTTGCTTTACGATGTTTTCACTTAACGGCAATTTTCCTGGAACAGATTATCGTCGTTAAGCGAGGCACCACTGTATTCTCGAAGGCTTTCACAGCCAGGATCCGATGGCTGGACACAGACAGAGTTCTAACTCCTGTCCTCTGAAGATGCCGGCCACAGAGACTGGAGAAAACTGTAGGGGAAGAAAAACCTCCAGAACATGGCCAAACAGCCCCAAAAAACTACAGCAACCATTTAGCTGTTATAATTACTAACAGCTTTGATGTTAGTAATAACATCAAATCATAACATTTAGCTGTTATGATTACATCAAAAGTCATCTCTTAATAAATCAAGTCTTTGTTTATCTGTAATCTGCCCTTCTCTATAAGCAGCTATACAGTGTAATTCACACATCACAATAAACCACGGTTTCGGTTAACTACAGTTTGTTGTTTAAGCCAAGAATCGCATGGTGGACAATTAAACGAAGTTTATCTTCTCCATTTCTGCTTAATTTCTCTCCTATCCTTTCTGTCAGTAAAATAGCAGGCGATGGGAGAAAAAAATATATTGCCCTTCTCTGGCAAAGTTGTTCAGAGTTGGCAGGTTGGAAACAAACCTCCAACA